TACATGACTGCACAAGGGAGGAGTTCTAATCCCTTATGTAAACTGTGCTTTGTACCAAACATACAGTCCAGACACGTTGATTGAGGAACTGAACGAGGTATTACTGATTCTCAATGCCGTATTTCAGTCTAAAGAAACTGGCTCTTTTTTCCCACCATGTATTGCTTATTTATAATCAATACCTTCTAATTAATTCTAAAGCATTCCTTTTAGAGTAGAAAGGTGCTTGCTATTTTCTATTGAGGTATCTGGTGTTCATTTGGGTTCAATTTCTTCGTGTTTCTAAATAATCCTGGCTGGATTCATGTAATGTAAAGTTGTTAGCATTTGATCTTTGAATGGGATGCATCCATTTGAAGGTCAGTGCCGAAAAGCCAGGAAATTGCTTTTAATTTTATGTAATTTATGGTTTATTTGTGAAACTCACAGAATTTCACATTGTAAGACGATTTCCTGGGATTCTGTTTCAAAAGGCCACTGCCTTTTAAGGGAAGATGAATACATTTTGTTGCTGTTATTGAATTTTCCAAACAAAAAAGCTTGAAATGCTATTTACTACTAAGAAAGTACAGGTAATTATTATAGTTGCTAATGTCTTTGTTCAGAATCCTTTCTCTGCCTGTCATATGATTATCATATCTCTTGAAAGAGTTAAGTAACTGTTATGGTTTAGATCTACAATGTCTCTGAAAGGTCTCATGTGTTTGGCAAATGATTGAATCCTGGGGCACTATGGTCATCAGTGGCCGTATCTTGGCCCTGTCTCCTTTCTTCTCTCTCTGTTTCCTGGCTGCCGCTGGAGGAATAGCTTTACCCTGCCATGCCCGTCTACCAGGCCATTTCTGTCTTGGAGCAAGCTGACCACATATGGACTGAAACTATAAAGCAAAATAAATCTCTTCATTACTCTGTGCGTGTTGGCTATTTTTTTCCTGCATGACTAATGTAGAGAATTGGTGACAGATAAGTCAGATCATTGCTGTTACTGTACCAGACCATGTGGTTTAGGAGCCTTGGGAACTGATTTCTGTGAGGAGATGGGGAAGATTTGAAGATACAGGCTAGCGAAGCTGTAAAATGCTGTAAGCAGGGCCTGATGAGTGATTCTAGCCAGAGCTCAGAGGACTAGATTGCCAACAAGAATGCTGACAGTAGAGGACAGGCTCAGGAGGTTTTGGTTGGAAACAAGGACTGCACTGGCAGTTAGACTACAGCCATGTGTGTTATGCTCTCACAGAAAATTTGTCTTTATTTTGTTTATGTCCTGAGACTTTTTAGGGGACTGAGCTCAAGGATGGTAGACTATTAATCTGGTAGGGGAAACTTCAAAGTAGCCCAACATTTAGGCCGTGGCACTGGTACTGCTAGCTATCTTTAGTCTGATTTACAATGAGGATCAGGAGCAAAAAACAGATGTGAAAAGTTTGCAGTTTCATTAAAAAAAAGAAGTGCTTGCAACATTGGTGCAAAGAACATAGTTGCTAAAAAGATTAGGAAGAAAATGAATCAAAATACTTTGAAGCAGGACAAGGAGGAGATGAGATCATCTTGGGAATCAGCAAAACCCATCCTTCACAGGCTCAAGGGTACAAAACTGTAAATGTTTCATTTGAGGGGAGAGACCCTGTTCATTTAGGGTCGCCTAGCAAACTGGCTATCCAAGATTTGTTTCACAGAGCTCAACCATCCAGGCACTCAAAAGCCTGTACAGCCAAGATCCCAGAGACACTGGCTACTGCTTCAGCTGGTGGTAGACCTCAACACCATCCACATGGTATTGGTTTTAAAGGTATGCACAGTGCAAGACTCACAGGGTCATGGAGACTTCCACCTACACTTCAGAAGAGGTGCTTGCTGGGAGGCCAAGCAGTGTGCTTGTGAGAGGGCAGCATGGGGAGTTGGGAGTGTGAGGCTAAAAGTGCAGTAGAAACCTCAGGTAGTTGGAGATCCCAGAAATATGGAATATTTCTGGAGGAAAACTGTAAGCAGTGAGCTAAGCCAGCCTAGGAAAGAGGCCATGTGGGCTGTTACCAGCTGTCCAAGCCCTTCAGATCTCACATTTGGCACCATTTGTTCCAGGTGCTTGACATGAACCTGCAGGATTTAATGTTTGCCCTGCTGAGTATTGGTCTTGATTTGGGCCAGTTCCTCCCTTTTGGAATGGGAATAATTACCCGTTGTCGCTGTATATTAAAAATATTTCACTTTTTTTTTTTAAAACAGGGGCTCACAGCTCAGAATTTGCCCTGAATCTCAGAGGAAACTTTGGACTTGGAATTTTGGGGGATATTGGAACTAGTAGGACTTTGGTAACTCTTAGAGATGAATTAATGCATTTTGCATAAAAAGGAAATACAAGAGGAGCCTTTTGGGAACCAGGAGTGGAATGTTACTACTTAAATCTAAAATATTCCCCCCAAATATAATGTGTTTTCAAGATGATTGGATGGTTGGGGTGCTATACTCATCTGTGGCATTTTCATCCTTTGATTAATTCAGTGCCTGAAGATGCTGTTCGGATGGGACCTGGTTGGAAGTAGTCACTGGGGTGTCACCTGGAAGGGTATATTCTTGTTCTGGGGTCCTCTCTACATCTCTGCTTTCTGGGTGCCATGGGGTGGTCATCTTTCCTCTGCCAGGCCCTTCCACCATGTATTTTGTGCCTTAGAGCAAGCTGAACACACATGAACTGAAATCATGAGCTGAAATTAACCCTCTCTCTCTCTTTTCTTTTTAAGCTGTGGGAGGTAAGTATTTTATCCCAGTAAGGGAAAAATGACCAATAGAGTAACAAAGAAATGTGCTTTTAAAATCTGTGAAATTTGGGTGCTTCCTTTTTCTTTTTGATATGAGCAAAGCAATACTTGGTGACTAAAAGAAAAGTAATTACAAAAAATAATCTTCACAAAATATGAATTATTCTCCATGCTTTTCCCCTATAACTCCAGTGCATTTCACAACTATCTAACTTAAAAATTTGTCAATTTTTAAGAACAAGAATTGTGGTGCTTTTATTGTCAGGCAAAATCAGGAATGCAAAATAAACTTCAAGTTTTATATTTTCATTTATTAAGTTATTAAAGTATTTTATTTTCTAACTTTTGTATTTATAAGATTATTGAAAAGAAATTTAATCTGAAAATTTAAGATACCATGAAAATACAATTTTGATATTGATCAGCTTAAGCATTTCTAGTAGCTTTGATTTTTAGAGTTGGAATCTGGTAAGGTTAAAAATATAACAAGTGCCTAAGAGGAAGGACACGGAGATATTTGTTAATTTTTATAAAGTGACTATATCGTGTCTCAGTTGTTCTATTGTGTTGGTTTAAAATTGTAAACTGATTTTTTCCTAATATATTCTGTCAATTTCTAGAAATGACATGATTCTTTGAACTAGTACTGGAAGTAGAATTTCATTAGTAGCATTACCGTCTCTTAGTTGATTGGCTGAGAAATCATATGATCAAACAAATATTTGAAGTCATTAAGGCAAATCAATCACTTGTGAATAGTATTTTTATAGTATAAACAAAGATGATATATGGAAAAATAGACCATTGATATAATGGAAACCTTAATTTGCAGTTAAACCTTAATTATCCAAATTCATAAGATGTAAAAAAATAAGATAAAATGACAAAGATAATTCAAGAGATGCTTCAGAAATAACTTGTATGTGTTATTAATGTGATTAATAATATTTTAGGGAAGACTTCCATCTATAATTAAAATGTTTATGGTGAACATCAAAATTAATTTTCATTCTTTGATTTTCCACCACTTAATGACATAATGAGACCATCCAGAAATATTCTGTGTGACTGTTAATAGTGATGCGTCAATTAGAGTCAATTAAGAAATTTCCAGATTAGGAAAGCACACCTTTGGGTATCTGGTTGGCTCATGGAGGTGAAAACTTGGGTACTATACATGGTCCCTCTTCCCTTCTTCTGTGGCATTGCTCTGATTCCAAACCACCATGAGGTGAGCAGCTTTTCCTTACCAGGCCCTTTTACCATGTTTTGGCCAACGATGGACTGAATTCCCTAAAACTGTGAGCCAGATTAAAACTCCCTTGTAAGCTGTTTCAGATATTGTGTTCCAGTGATGAAAAGCTGACAAATACACTCTGGATTTTGGAAATCAGTCAGTCTAGAAATAATTTTGCTGTATGTAATTCATTAAGCAAGCCACAACTGGGTAATTGAGAATTTTCTTCAATCAGCAGAAAGATTCAGTAGAACAATAGCTCAAAAAATTACAAAATGTACCAAATGTCAGAGGGTCTTTGCAATAGTGGCAATTATTTCATTGTGGATATAAAATATGTTTTCAGTGAAGTTATGAGGACTCCCAAGCCATGTACTATAATGTGAAATCTATAGCAGCTGTATCAAGAAAAGATGAAACTGTATGGTGGTGGAAAGTCATCTAGTTTTCCAGAGTTTCCCCAGGGCCATCCCTAGTGCAGGAAGGGTCTCTAGCAACCTAGCAAGCTTTTTGTGGGGACTATGTCTACATGAATTATGTGATTTAAGATGCATTGCAAAGTTCATGGTGTCCCAATTTTCAATAAAACTTTGGAATAATTGGCAAAGTAGTGGCACTTACACATTTGCTTATTGCATGCAAAGAGTAGCTAGGCACTGTTTCTTCTTGTTCTTTATTGTCAGGGCATGGTCCTTGGCTACCTGTTTATCTCCCACCATGTGGAAAACAGGTAGCAATGCTGTTATTTTTCATCATGCTATGGTGCTTCAGATCCTGTTTGCACTGAAACATTATAGAGCTTGCCTCTACACTTCTCTAATACTATTTATTTAATTATGGTTGCAATATTACTCAAGAGACCACATCATCCATCACGCCACTCCTGAATATTGACTCCCGTGACTGTCTGAAAGGTTGTTACAGGGCTTTGTTGTCAATGACTACAAATGTAAATCTTGAGCAGCATATGCAGGAAAATGTTTATGACAAGCTCTTGTTGCGTTAAATTTACTGTTCAGAATTTTATAGCTTCAAAATAGAATAATAATGCTCTAATTACATATTCTTATGAATCCTTTAGGTGGTGGTCACCTCATTCCTGAGATGTGATCTCATTTGATGTTGACTCTACTTCTGTCTTCTGCAGTTGTTACCAGTGAGAAGGTAAGTGTGGGACCCAGGGAAGGAGACAAGAGCTGTTCCATTGGCACAAGAAATGCCCATCCCTTGTGCAGCATGGTTTGAAACCCATCTGGTAGGGTACTACATAGGTACCTGATGTAAGGCAAGACTGGACATGGGTCCAAAGACTTGTTGGGTGTGGGAAAGCAAAGATCCAGGAAGCTCGTGGAGGAGATGGACCTGAAACTTGGGGTGGAGCCTATGGCGAAGAACAGAGAGTCCTGGACAGAGGGCTCCTGCTCCTTCCTTCTTCCTTGGAACTATTGAGTGCAGGTAGCTCCACAGTCTAAAGAGCGTCACACCAACCCATGTGTGTGGCTCAAGCCTGGGGGACAAGCCTTAAACTTGTCCTATGTCCTTTATAAGGGAGAGTCATCCAAAAGCAGCAGGTCAGGCTCCGTGCTGAGACCTACTCTTGTTAATTCTTTCACAGTCTAATGAAAGGTGAAGTGTGTTAGTGAGCAGAGTCTCTCTCCTGGAGGTTCTTTGCAGTGTTTACCCAGATGGGATATGAGAAAGGGCTAGAGGCTCAGAGAGTGCTCCTTAGAGGGGAGAAACATGACAAGGGTCCTGTTCTAACCTGTGCAGATAGTTTTGCCAGAAGAGCTGGTTCCAGGCACCAGAGGAGGACTAAGAAAATTTTGTGGAAGATGATTTAGGGCATTGGGCCTCCTGAGCTGCAGGCTCAGGACAGAGCTCCTGCTTACATGGGTCTAAGGGCGACACTGGGTTTCCTCTTAGTTCTCTGTGGCTCTTTGTTGCACTAACAGCTGCCTGACACAACTCTTAGGTTTGTTCTTAACCTGGTCACAAGTTACCCCAAATGTTTCCTCCTTGTTGTCCCAGTACACTGCTTTCAGAGACGTGCTTTTAGGGTCTCTGCAGCAGAGGTGAGGAAGCTAAACGTTTAAGAGCAAATTCTCACCTCTTAGAGCATTAACATAAATTTACAAGCACCGACAGACAGTACCTGTGACAGCCATCTCAATTTCAGAACAGTGGACTGAGCCTGGAAGAGGAACTTGCAGCCCATGGAGTCTACACAGAGAAAAGACTCAAGGAAGTCAAGACCACTATTATTGCTCACTGTGTTTGCATTTAAATCGATGAAAGTAGAATCACTTGTCACTCCAGGGAAAAAAAATGAATATATGAGTTTTGTGGGAGCTTCTGGAATCACAAGTTATGGCTGGTAATGCAAATTTGTTTTTTAATGTCTCATTGCACTCAAATAACAATAATAACTAGTGAACATCTCACTGTCTTTTTGTACTTAGAGTAAACAGACATGAAAAAGTGCAATTCGAAAGCCATAGATCAAATATTGCATTTTATGAATTTTAGAACTACAATAATTAGAAAGACACGCACCTTCTGTGAAAAAGTCATACTTTTTACTTCTTTGGGGTTGCTATGGAGAAAAGATGCGGTAATGATTGGAGGGTGGAATTTTATTTCTGCTCTGAGCATAGATGGACTCCAGACTTCAATTTAACCTTAATCTGATTTCTTTTGCTTTTATGTTTTCCTCCCCCATTCTTCTCCTCCTCTTTTTCCCTCTTTTTTATTTCAATGTGATACAAGTAGATACTAATAAGGAAAATGTTTTTTTAAAAAGTCTTCTGTGAAAAAAATAAGGCAAAATTTTATAACAAATTAAGGAATAACATTAGTTAGTACACTCTGTACCACAATCTTACAAGAACGGCCAAAATGTTAAGAGTACAGATCTTACAAAGTGGCTCTTAGAAAAAGGAAACAAATAGATACTAGCACAAAACTGTCTTTTCCTGTTTTATCTTCTTCTTTACGGCGCTCTTCCTTCATGTGTGAGGAAATCGTGTTGAAACCCTAAGAAGACCATTTCCCTAAGAAGTTACCCTTATGTTGTTTTACAGTAAAATATGTTGACTCTCCCCCAAAACAGGGACTTCTGGAGAATGTGTATATTTTAAAAGAAGTTAGTGTTTCAGGTAGAACACTAGGTCTGCTGCAAACTCTGTACACAATGTAAAAATCTTTGGGAAACAGTAAATAGCCGATACCTATGTTAGAGGTGATTCATTGCTGATTTTTATTTTTTTGCTAATTCCTATGTAACTATTAAAGAAAGAAGAAAACTCTTCCATGTAGATGTGATAAAGAATGCTGCAGATTCACATTTGTCACTAAGGAAGGAGCTCCAAGAGAGATTAAATGAAATCAGTAACGTGATATTTCTTACTTAAATTTAAAGAGGAAATGTAGGGATATATATGCTTCTTTCTTAATTTTTTTCCTGGAAGGATATTTAAGAAAACTGTTAACTGTGGTTATCACTGAAGTCTAGAGTTGAGAGAAATGAGACAGAAATAGCTCGCTTAATCCTTAGTTAAGACATTTTGGTATCATTTCAATGTCCTTACCATGTTCTTTGATGCGGTAGACAAAATTCTCAGCCCCGAACCTGTCCCAACTCTCCAGAGGACACCCAGTGCCTGATTCCCAAGTCTATGGACATCATGTCTTTTACTCTTGAGATTTTATGATGTTGTAAGGTAGTTTACGTCAAGACAGTTCATCCAGATAGGCTTGGCGTAGTCACAGGAGTCCTTTAAAATCTGGTGCTGTTCTTTGGCTGGTCTGAAAAGATGACAGTGAAGTCCAAGGGATAAAACAAGCTGAATGTGCCATTGATGACTTGCAGGTAGAGAGGCCTCCAAGGGCAGGCGTGTGGGCAGCCTCCAGGAGCCAAGAGGGCTCCCCAGCTGGACCCAGCCAGGAAGTGGAGCACTTAGTCCTCCAGGTGCTAGAACTGAGTCCTCCAGGTAAGGATACCTGACTTCAGCCTTGGGAGCCCGAAGCAGAGATTTCTGACCTACAGACCTGCAAGCAAGTCAGAGTCACCAAGTTCGTGGTCATTTGTTACACAGCAGTAGAAAACAAATAATAGTTTCCAGTAACATTTGCAGTTAAGAAAATAAACAATTATAGTAGGAATTACCAGAGAAGCGAGATTATGGGTTTTTCCCCTCGATAATATCTTTAATTAAATAAAAGGCCTTAATAAATGCAATCTAACACAAAACCTGAAGGAGGATAACTTACTGAGCTACTGTAAGGAGAATTAGCACATCCACCAGAGTTGGATGTAAACTTACTGTATCTCAAGGGAGCCACGTTTTCTCATGGATTTCCGTTTACACCTTCATTTATTCACTACTGCCGAATCCTAGCAGAAATGTTACGTAACATTATAAATTAGCAATACGTTTTCAGGAAAAAAAAAGTTTGAAAAGCCTTGGCAAGGGTGTGGCTGAAGGCACTTTGGATCACGGACTGGACGCGGAGACCCCGGGGTGGGAGGCCGCGGCTGTCGGACCCCGTGTGTGCTCAGTGATACCGGTAACTCCAACGAACGCACGTGCTGAAAGAGTGCAGAGGCTTTTCTTCTGTGCAGTGCGCTTCCTCCCTAAGCAACGAAATTCCTACTCCTGTGCCCCTGTCTTCTTCACGTTCAAACACGACACCTCCTACAGTTCAGTTTCCTTCCCGCCCTCCCGCGGGCACGCGTGGCATCTGCGACAGTGCGGGCGTTTGTGTCCCTTCAGAATGAGGACGGGGAACTCTCATCCCCAGCGTGCAGGTGGATTTGGGCGTGACTAGGTCATGGAGCCTCCTGAGTGGAATCAGTGCGCTAATAAAACAGGCCTTTGAGTGCTTTTTGACCGTCCATCAGGTGAGGGTTCGGTGAGGAAAAAATCGGGCACTCAGGGGCCACGAATTTGTTGGTGGTTTCACCTTGGAGTTCCCAGCCTCCAGGGCAGTGAGAAATAAATTTCGGTGTGTATAGGCTGCCTGGTTTATGGTGTTTTTTGTTATAGTGGCCCAGAAGAACGGAGACAGTAGCTTACAGGGCCAAAGCATACAATTTGTATTTAATGATACTGACCCACTCTTTTGAAAATGGTTTCCATAAGGCTGAGTATTCATTTTTTTCCCCTCAAGCTGTCTGTTTCCTGTTGCTTTGCATCCATAAATTCAAATTCTTCAGGTGGGCAGTTCTGAGCTCTTCCCTGTTCACGGAGAGATGGGGAGCTTTTGGATGACAAAACCTCTTACATTTTACTTTATCATCATGCCCGGCGCAAAACCTGGCACATTCACATGGCCAAAAAGCATAATAAATGCCCCCCCCCAAATGAGCAACTGTACTGGGATAATATTCTCAGCAACTATTGGGCAATTCGAGTGTAAGTAATTTTATTTAATCTTTGGAAATTCTAGCTGCAAGATAGTTGGAAAGAATACTTCAGTTTCTGATGATGAAAAGAACAAGGACAGAAAGAAAGAACTGAAGAGTGTAGTGAAATTGTATCTAACGGATTTCATTGTCTTATCCATGCATCCATCCATCCATCCATCCATCCATCCATCCCAGGGCTGGGATGGTTGGCTTCTTTCTACTGAGTAGAGATTTAAAATTATCGATGTAAAGCCCCTAGGAGATGTGATTTTCCAAATAAGGACACATTCATGAGCACATGCTACCTCTCCCCGCTCGGCATCAGGGTCACGGAGACCATTAGGGTGCATTGAATGCAGGGACAGCGAATCCTCGTGCTACCTTAGAACTCCAAGTGGCTGCAAGCACAAAGTTTCCCCTTAGCTAAGGACATCTTGACCCAGTGCTAAATCTGTATCCATTTCTTTCTCCAACTCTGAGCTCCAAAGCTCAATTTAGCACCCCCCAAATAAAACAACAACAAAAAAACCTGAGTCGTGTTCCTTTCCTTTTGTGCCTCATTACCAACAAGGAAGAGTTGAAGAACAGGGGTGTGGATTGGCAGTTGGGCCACGATAATGGCAGGGCAGAATACTGACTTGCTTTTTGCAGCACAGAGCCTCCAAGTTACTGATATAGGGAAAAGATATTTTTCAAATGCAGAAATGGCCAAGAAAACCAAACCCTGTGACATCCAGGAGCCCCACAGCGACCTCCCAGGTGTCTAGCAAAGTTAGTGGCTTTCTCACTGGAGAACACAAAACCACCTTTCAGTGTGACTGACCACTGTCTCCTCAGGGCATTAATGGTACCATGTTGACAACGATCTCCTCCTGAACCTGGTAAGCAGCAAGAGGGACTCTTCTAAGTGCTGGCAAGGGCAGCTTTGCATTTTCTCTTCCCCAAAGAAGGCTTTTGTGCTTTTGCATAGGGCAAATCCAACCCTTTTACTAGGTTTCTTTTCTCGGGTCTATGGCTCCAGGAGAAGGAGAACCTCAGAGCCTCTGTCTCCACAGAGCAGAAGTCAGAAGCTGATGGTCCATGCCTGGACCCCATCCAGACGGCAGACATTTATGTTTCCTGGCACAATGTTTAAACTGATTTGAACTGGTTGCCAAACAATTAAAAGCCAGGAGATTTTTGTGTAAAACCAAATCTGAATTTTGGCTCTTTTGAAAGGAAAATCTAAATTTTGGCGACACTAGGCCTGGCTTCCCACATGGCAACTAGAGTTGGGTAGTACATTCCAGAACGTACCTTCCCTTCATGGGGGTTAGAAAACGGTGCTGTCCCTGGGCAGCTGGGTTATAAGGCTTCCCTATGCTAAAAGTTACAGCCCTCATGCATGACTAGTTTTGCCACAGTGGCCACTTTCTTCCTGAGCCACTTTACTCGTGACTGAGCCCTTCCGGCATTTCAGTTTATGACCACTGCCAAAGCTTTTGGCGGAAGTTGCTGCCTGCAGCATAGCTCTGGATGAACGAGGCCTGGCCTGGAGGGTTGTCTTTGATTTCTTTCCAGCAGAGATGGAGACAGGAGCATCTGTTTGACCCAGCTCCCTTTTTCCCAGAGAAGAACGCTTCACCGTTCTACAAGAATTCTATTCACAAGCTGGGTCTCTATCCCCATTCTCATCCTGTCTCCCTAACCGCCATTTCCTACCCCACATGGACTTGTCATGTCCCGATATCCCCAGCCTAGGGGAAGACCTGCCTGAGCAGGATGTAGCAATTTCTCTGGATGACCCAGAGCTATGATTCTTTTAACACAAAGAGTGTGAGGCAGACCTCGTGAGCCATCTTGAAATGAGCTGATTCCAGTATCAATGTCTGTTGACAGCTTGCTCGTATTAAACCCTGTCCCAAAGTGAACCCTATAGCCCTGATAATGGATGATACCATGGAGCCCAGGAGTCCCTCTGTGGCCTTAGCAGACCTGAGAAATAGTTTCTCTGCAACTTGTCAAGAGCCATGAGCTGTTTCTCTTAAGGACTGGGATGACAATCATCAAAATCATTCATGCAGTGCGGCTGTCTGTGATTCTGTATAAGAGGAGATAAAATCAAGTTAATATTATGCCATCTGAGAGTTTCATCAAGCGATTCACAAGCCAGGGCAGCCATGTGATAATTAGCAGCCCATTTTGGTGAGTGGATTTCAAATTGGGTTTGAACAATGGTCTTGCCACTTACTAGTTATGTGAACCTGGGCTGGTCACTTACCTTGTGACCCTCCCTGGAAAAATACCCTTGTATTCATGGCTCCAAATCTACGGATCCAACCAACTGTGGATTGAAGATATCAGGAAAAACATTAGATCTGTACTGAACATGTCGAGGTCTTGTTTCTCATCATTATTCCTTAAAGGATACAGTAAGATACTAACTTACATGGCAGGCATGTTGCATTAGCTATTATAAGTACTTTAAAGAAGATGTAACGGATATAGGAGGATGGGCATACGTTATTGGCCAATACTACAATGTTTTACAAGGGCTCATCAAAAACAGTGTGTGTTCAAATTAAATTTATTGTAATAAATGTACCACCACCCCCACAATATCCTCCTTCCTATTTGGAGCAAACTTATCCCATCCTTCTTGCCACTTTCTGATGGATGCTCTTCCGGATGTTATGTGTGGTGTCTTTAAAATGTTGATCAAATGTGTGTGCGTCTCCCAAGCACCATTCGATAGAATGGCGGGGTCATACTGACAGCATGTCCTCACCCCTCTTATTCACCACATCTGGTACCGTGTGGCTTCTACTGGAGACCCCTGCAGCTAGGTTCCAGCTCCCACTGTACAATATATAAAAGAACCTAAAAAACAGAACAAAGAGAGGCAGAAATCTGGGTGCCAGTATGACCAATGCTGGTGCAACTGACAAAGGCGCTGGCCAAGCCAAGCCACTAATTTTTATTGGTAATCAGTTGGGGTAAAGACGAGCTACGTGCAAGGGTGGAACTACATGAGAAAATTCGCAATCGTGGGTTTCTATGGAAATTAATGTAAGCAAGGCTCCTAAAGGACAAGACAAAGCATTCTTCAATTAGGAACAGAAAAGACAAAATACATGATTGTAATTAGAACATTGTCCTTTTAGTAAGATTTCAGTTGTGGGAACAGAATTTGGGTGGGAGTTACTCTGACCTCAGCTCGTAGGTTTTGGCTGTACTTACTTCTCAAAATAAGCCAATTGTGGGGTTAACTGTACAGTCTGCTTTGGGGCATAATCAGTATTGTAGTTTCCTGACATTTCTGGCTTTTATGCAATGTCAAAATGACCAGGAAGGGTAAATGTCTTCAGTCATACCAGGACACAGAGGCAGCCACAACAGCACAACTAACAACGTCATGAGAGAGGACTGCTTCAGAAAGTGAGGAGAGCAGCAGGCTGTGTGTTTGAAGAAAGAGTATTTTGAGGAAAATTAATGGCAGTGTGTCTTTTACTGACAGGAGTTGGTAGAACCATTTCCCATGGATTCCAAGGCGTAAGATTTTATTTAAATCATAACATGAATAGAACTAAGAGTGGCTAACATTCCTGGAATGCTTACTGGTTGGAGTAAATGAACTTCAGAGGTCTCAGGTTCCCACTCTATTGGACTGAAGGACAAACAGTAGTGTCTTGATTGGATTTTGTACGATTAAATGAGATAATGCTTGAGGCATGTACATAATATTGTTGGCCATTGAAGTCCCCACCCTCCTATAAAGGATTCAATCCAAAATATTGGTTCCTTTGTCTTCCTACTTGTGTCTTACTGCTTTGAATACTAAGAATTTTAGCAAATAGATGTGACTAAAGGTTGCTTTGCTCCATAAATATTTAACACATTGATTTTTACAGTGGAAAGTGTATCAATATATGAACATCAAGCTGCTGTTCTAAAGGTGTGACTTGTTAGCTGAGGCAGTTCATATAGGGGGTTAAAAATGATTTCAGAGTTTCCAATACTGCAGGATAATGCAATGGTTAAAAATGAAAATAAGAAAGTCTCTATAACAGTGTGTTGCTGCCTGTTCCCTTTAGGAATGAGTTCCTGGCTGCAGAAGACCCAGATCAAGCAGAATACAAAGGTCACAGTGCCAATTTCATCTGCAACTTGTTTCGCAGTGTCAGAGTCTTGGTTTTTAGGGAAAGACGGGTGGTTGCTATGGAACTCTTAATAATGATTGCTGCCTGTACCTCCATTCCTCATAGTCCCAATCTCCAATATAAAATCACTTAGAATTGTGCTGTAGGGCAGTAAACAAACTTTCGAGCAGGAATTAACTAGGCTCAGGCATTAGTGTCTTAATGTCGGAAATAACTTTCATTATAACCTCTACTTAAACTGGCAGCGTTGGCGGGGTTGAAGCAACTTCTGTTTGAAATGCACGCGGCTCAAACTTTGCTCTTTAGATGGGCACTGATAAAAGCAGAAGCATTTGGGGGCTTTCATCATAAAATAAATACTGAGAAATGGTTTGTGCAGAACTGAGTTTAGCGTGGGTCTTTTTATTATGTATACCGAGAGCTAGTAATTCAGCCATATGGATTCCTAAGTGGAAAGAGGGAAATATTCCTGTTGAAATATTTATCTGTGTACTTTTAAAAATAAACCCTGTGGAAAAAATGACATTTTTGCCTTATTTCTGCAAGGTCTGTGCTCCATATAATAGATGCTTCTTACTCCTGAATTATATTTCCACGATATGGATCTCAGTCCCTATTAATGTATAACTGATATTTGGGGAAAACTCTCTGAGTTCTTGAGCTACAGGTACATCAATGTAGGAATGGGTTATTGGATGGGTGGGAAGAAGACATAGCTAATTTCGGGACTTTACAGCCTCACCAGTAGGCAAATAACTCAGCAATAACAGAATAAATGGCTTCCGTCTTCACAATGGCCGTTCTCTGTAGTCACTGAAGTATGTGTTTCCCAACAATTACCTGGCTTAATTCTCTGTTTTATTGCTTAGGATCTTAATACTATTTCAAATGCAGAACACAGAATAAAATGTGATCATCAGTAAAATTTAGAAAGATGCTAGAGTGCTGTTTTCCACTGAGAGGCAACTAGTTTCTAAGAACAAAGGGAAAAGGCATTTTTTTTGGAATAGGGAATGTAAATATTACATTAGCTCTGGATTCCCCCAACTCTTCAGCAGCAAAACGTGACAGGAAGTCTGGAAAGGTTAAACAGGCACACGTTGGGCCGGCCGCGAAATTAAGTCTTCTACCTGGTCTGCGGCCTGGCAGGAGACAAAGGTTGATCTGAAGAAATAAACCGAATGTGCGTTTCAGTAAATTCATGTTTGCAGGGCCATTTAAAGCACTAGCAGGTCTGGTACCATTCAATAAAAATGCAGATGGGTCTATCAAATTATCAAGCTGCTGCGGTAAATTCAGGTGATCTCCGGGACTGGCCAGGTGATGTCAAGAAAGTCAAACCTGAAGAATGAGAGTTGGGTTTCTAAATGAGATCAGGGAGAAAAGCAGAGTTAATCGGGGAAATCAAGACCGAAGCAATCAACATCCCTGCCACATTTGGAGGAGAGTCTAAAAATCAATTCCTCCTGCTCGTTGTAAAATTGTTCTGCCAAAAACTATGCTGTTGTGGACTTTTTTTATTTTTCAGTTTATTTAATCTTCTTTAACACAGCCATTGTTAGTTCAACAATTCAATTTTGGGGGTAACATTATTGTAAAGTAAGGACATAGCTGAGTAGGTTATACCATCCATACATTTTATTAATCCTATCCATTTGATTAAAAACCAAGCACAGTTTGTTAATGTTGTCTTGGTAACCTCTCCTCATAACATTGCTTACAGTGGTACCTACTAAAGGTAGAGAGTTTGCTCTCTGGGTCCGCTGTCTTTAAACTGTAAATTTACCAAACATTAGCATCTTGTAATTAAAAATAGATAAAGCAATATTTCAGTGCAATGTTAGGCAACACTACAAACTACCCTATCTGAGTGGATGTGTACACATACATAAAACACTAGTATGCTTTAAGAAGTTAAGAAACATGTTAATATTCAGTGAAATTAATGCAAAAATATGACTTGGCCTGGAAGAAAATTACCAATATGTACAGAAATGAAATAGCCTCCTTCCCTTCCCAAATCTGTGCATTTCAACATTGTATAAACTTCTATCACATTGTTTGGAGTGTAAAGATTATTCCAAATGTGGAAGACATTAAAGAATACCATGATCCAACTTCCTACAAAAGATACACATGTTAATTATTTTTGAAGATTTATATTCATTCCAATGTTAAAGAGACAATATGCTTCTGAACTTCTTTAGAGAAATGTTTGCAATGCCTTTTAGTTATGAAGGGGGAAAGCCCGTAGTTTTAGCACTATGAAATGTTATATTATTCAAAAATATTAGAAAATAAAAATACTGTGAAGACAGAACATGTTCCTCCAGGATATGACTTCTTTAGCACTGTTATTTAAAGAGTAAAATAATTAAGCTTAATACTGTAAATATGTCTCTTTTAAGCTCACACTTCTCTGCCTCCACTGTCTTTGGAAGTCTTGCTTCCCAACTCTCTTATTTTCAACTTTTTCTTCTTCTTCTTATTTTTTTTTTCTAAAACCCGACCTGACTCCCTCTCCCAGATCACTGGCTGACATCACCGTCTTCCAACTTTTCCTTCATCTGCAATAAAGCAGTGGGCTTCTGTTACCCGAACAACCCACTACACAGCCCCTTCCCACCTTTTGTAAATGTTTTCTTGTTAAAATTACAGTTACGCTTTGAGCTCTCACACCTAAGCACACCGTAGAATCACGCGCTCGGGAAACAAAGACCAGGCTCACGGAGGACCACAAAGCCCCCCACGTCACGGGTGCACCATTCAGTGAGACAGCAAAACCACCTCGGCATGATGGGCGTCTCCGACGGAGCGGGATCGAGCCCCGCCATTCCCTCCCCGCAGCCCCGCAGGAG